TACGATCACCAGGATAACGGTAAAACCTTTAGTTAGTACGTGCCTGGTAGAAAGCATTTTGAAGATAAAGCCAGTTTTTGTGATCAAATACCTATGTTAAAATGCGCTATAGAAGTATTAGTATTATGGAGGTTAAATAGAGAAGGGTAAATCCGTTAGAAAATTCTGACATGATCAGTACAGTGACCCGTACAACAACTGATAAGTATAAGCCTCACAGCTGTGTAACCTAAAACTGGAATTCGTTTACCTTATCCTATAGATCGAAGGAAGACAAAAACTCAAAACTCAAGAAAATTGTTAGATGATGCGAATTTTTTTCCATGTGATTAGTTTATTCTGTTTACCAGTAAGTTTCAACCTGTAGGGTTGTAGCCTGCGAAAACAGCCTCTAACAGGGCTCCTTGCCGACTGAGAGACGGCTATATTCGCAGGGTAGTGGTAGTTATTGGCCAATTTCGTTTAAACTTGATTTTCTCTGTTTCCTATTTTGAATTCGTTAATTATGATTATTATAGCTCTCTTTCTCCGCCTAGTGTTTTCAGCGGCGCATCCAGAGGGTGGGGAGCGGGCTCCCCTTATTTTTAGACCAAACTGAGGCACCAAGGGCCGAAAAATACCTTTTTGGAGACCAGGACCCCCCCCTTATCCGAAGGTCTGGTTCCGCCACTGGTTTTATAGAAGCAAATTCAAGAAAAGGCCCCACCACATCATGAGAAAAACTCAAAAGGTACACCTCATTTATTACTTGTCTTCTACCAAAAAATAGGGTGGCCAAAACATAATTGTCGTGGTGTCGTAGTCAAAAATTAATACAAAGCAATCACAGATTTAATGAGCACATCAAGGCTAACTTGCAGGAAGCCAATAAGTGCCTTGATGTGATAAGATGTTTACGTTAAGAGGAATACCAACAACCAGATGTAGATTATTTTATTAGATCAATAGTTTTACCGAGATTAACTTACGGTCTACGCGTCCTCAACACCAGAATTAACAACAGTCGAGTATTTTCTACAGCGCTGCTGTAAGTGCCCAAAACTGAAAGGGAACCACTGGAAATCAGAAGTTCCTTACATTAGACGATAAGCCGGTATCTAAAAACCCCTTATGAAAATAGTGTTGCCCAGTGAATTCCTCTTTTGGATCTTCTCTGCAAGGATGCTGAATTCTTCTCAGCTGGTCTTCACCTAGGAAAATATGATTTTTTTGAAGTGAATCTGTTTTACTTTCTACTTTGAATAAGTGAATTAAATTGAATTTATACTGATTTTCCTTCAGACATTCATTTGATTTGTGCCTATTGTAGGTCTGCTGGGAGAAGATTTCTTTCCGCCGCCGCTCGCGCGTGCTCCCGAAACCATTCTTGATTCCAGACTTCTTCGTTTTCTGATTGGATGCAGTTAACGCGGAGACCTTGGATTCGAAAATGCCTTTGAAGCAAAAATGAATGGATTTGAGGCTGCTGCTGGACTTATGCGCAACGCATTCACATAGCAAGATGACTCAACAAGATGGCCGAGTGCTGAGATTCACGTCATCTGCTGTCAGCCGCGCGTCCATCCTCTCACAGTTCAAATAACTAGAAAGCTATGGATTGTGCGCGCAAAAAATGCATGCGGAAACCGTATAAAAGGATTAAATAATTGCTACAGAAATTTTTAAATGCCAGAGTGTTTTGTCAAACACAAGGCAGTCGAAAGTTTAGTCCGTCATGTGAAATCACTCAAATGATTCATGTTTGTTCTAAAAGCATTCATGAGGCATTTCAAAGAAAAAGAAGAGAGTTTTTTTATCATTATTCGTATTGTCAAGTTTGAATTGTGCTTGCTTCTTTCCTTTTCCACTCTCAGACACCGAGGCAAATGAACTTGTCTTCGCCCGTCAGAGTTTTTTTCACTATTTTTCGATTCTTTCTGATGATGGAGTATGGAGTGACCATTGAAATGAGACGTCTTCAGTAGCAATTTCATAAGATTCCATTTCTTTTTTTGGTATACAGCGTAACTTAAGCGAAGTTTGTATATTTCCATAATTTGTTTATTTGGCACATTCTTGGGTCAGAGTGAATGAGTTAATTAAAAGTCCCATTGAATATATCGTCAGCTCACCGTTGGCCACTTCCATTGCTTGTTTATGACTGGAAAGGGGCCTAGAAATTTTTCGGCCTGTAGGAAAACTTTAAAAGATCAAGAAGGCTCTGTCGGCAGGTTGAATAAAGTGTTGAAAGCATTGCTTTTCATAAGGTGTTGTTATTGTTTCACTTATTTTAGTTTCCTTTGTAATTTTTCGTTGCTTGTCGAAGTTGCCGTGTATATGAGAGAAGAATTAAATTTCGGTTGCTATACCTTCCGAGTAGTGCTGAACATATTTACAATTCAACTGACCCCCCTTGGCAAAGCAAAAAATCCTAGTCTTAATTAAACAATTAAAGGCTAAATGTACTTTTTATATAGTCGAGATAGTAATGCCCACACTGATCCACATTCCACACTGGCAGAAGCCCTGACCTCGGGAAAATACTGACATACTCGGCAAAGAACCACTTCTCATTGTGGGAATGTCATACTTGACGATTTTGTTTGCAAAGAATAGATGGCTAAAGTTTGCTGGATACTTCTGCTTGCAATAACCACAACCGTATAGGTTTTTCACGTCTTGTTGTTGCAGAGATTCATAATATGATTATAATCGTACAAAAATCAACCCTGCCCGTGCTAGAAATGGTTCTTAAGTTTTGCTTCAAGTCTACAAGACATTACCATGCTGGTTATATTTTTTCTTATCAGTTTTAAAAAACAGGCTTCATGTAAGTTTATTAACTTTGCCCAAGTGTTCGTAAACGTCGGTTCCGAAATGGCCTATCGTCTCCCCCTTCGACTTTCACTCTAAAAAACGCAAGCCTGCTCTGGCATTCTGTTAAAAGGCTAATGAGTCGTGCTTTCTTGGATTCTACTACATGAAATTTGGAAAATGTTTGACTGTGTTCTTGGCCTTGAACTCTTCAGGGAAGTAAACTGATTCATTGGTGAGGGGTTTGTTATTTCCATGATTCCTCTAGAAAAAAAGGATCACTGTTAAAAAAAATTAATGGCTTATGCTATTCTTGAAACCAAACAACACTACATAGACAGAGGCGATCATTTTTGACTGAGAACCTGAAGGAATGGCAAATTCGCTTTTCCTTGGGATTCACTTACTGAAAACTTTGACCTTTTCGCGTTCTGGTGTTGAAGTGTCAATTAAATACAACGGAACTGTGAATTGCGTTTTCAGTGTGGGGGATAATGTGTGAAATTAAAATAACAACCTGGTATCGCTGACATCTCTTTCATGCAGGGTTCAAAACAGACCGGCCTATTGCCAAGTCTTGTAGCCTTGATCATTCACCAAACACTCAGCCATGATCTTCCGCTTGTAAGTTCATCAAATGGGAAAATTGAAGAAACCAGACTAAAGGCGTCATGGAACCGAATAGTCTACAAAAATTGTCAATATTATCTGTGAAAACTTTCCTACTTCCTGTGGAAAGCGGATGAGTGTTTTCGCGTTATTCAGTTCTGACTTTTGAAGTATGTGGATGAAATCCTATGGTGTACATTCAAATGAATCCTTTTCAGCAGTTATTCACATAGTGCTTTTCTTCAGTTGTAAAAATGAAGTTTGGGTTTTTTTTTCTTTTTCTTTTCTTTTCTTCTATCTTTTCATTGTTTATTTTTCTTTTTTTTTTCTTTTTTTTTTTTCAGTTTGGTCACTATTACGTATGAAGGGGTTAATCCCGATATGCCCTGAGAAGTTTACAATGCCCCCTGGAGAGAAACCCCTGTCCGCTTTACAAATCTTCGCGTTTAGCAGCAACCAGCTGTTTCAAAAATCACGCCTAATTGCGGCAGGTCTCAAACAACATCGCAGTAATTCATCAAGTCCACCTCTGTTGCTACTGGGCCATTTAAGCAGGTGAACGTTTTGATGTCTTTTCCGCCATCTCGTGCTCGCATGACACGCCTCGGAGTACTTAACTTTTAGACCTCGTGCTGTTTTGCGGTCGTGTAAAAGTAATTAATAAAGCGATTTGAAAAGAAAAGCTTTGTAAAAGTGCAAGGCACGGTTAAGTGTCAATTTAATAGTCCTTATTCTAGGGTGTTGCCTTGGCCGGCTCTCTTGGATCTGAGTGTTAAAGATTGCTGCAATACCGTACCGGTAGTTGCTTGTGAGGTCATTTATATTCGGGTTACAGAAACGGGTTTTTAACTTCAAATCAAAAGCGAGAAAATTTTGCTGGTGTTGACGGCTGTTTGAAGATTTTTTTACTCTCGCCACTCGCCGATTGTTTGCCTTAGAAATAAAGATTTGTTTCCTTTTGTTTTGGATAAACTTTTAAATAATTAAAGGCGTTTTCTTTAGAAGATAATTAAAGCATTAGCTCTTGGGGGCCAGTAAGCGAAATCATGTTCACTCGAGTGTTTTAAGTGAATTCTTCCCTTACTGTTTTGCAACTGATCCTTTGACATGCAATGTCAAATACTGGTCTTTTGGCCAAGTATAGTAATCACGCACAGAAAAATTCCTTTCTGGACGAATTCCTTTCAGGAGTTTGGGTGTTATCTCTGAGATAAGCAAGCTACCTTTTCACGCGACCATACGATAACCTTTCAGGAGTCGTTATCAGTAAAATGGTATAAAATCTAGTGTAGGATATCTTCCGCTTTCGCTATCTGCTTTAGCATACTCAATTTTTGACAGCACGGACCGCGCAGTATGTATCAATTGCGCACGGCACAAGTCAAATAGAGTGAAATCTATCCACAAAGAAAGAACTCTCTAACACGCGCCTTCCATGGCGTTTATAAGGACTTTTAAAAGAGCCTGTTGAAATCATTTTTTCGTCATATAATCAACAAGTACGTGAAGATACTTATTGGATAGCGGCTTGTATTTGTTTCTCCGAAAGTTTCAAGAAAAGTATTAAATTCCCGGGAAGCAATTTCCTTCGCAATGACCCCCACATTAGCAAATTCATGCCCAACGGGCCGATTTAAGCACCAATTTATTTTTAGATTCCCATTTCATTTGTGTAAGGATGAATGACTGAATCGCATCCCCAGATCGCGTTAAAAATAGTCCAATAATTGAGTCGGGCGCTTTTCTACCTTTTAAATCCAAAATAAATAACTCATATCACTATTTACATTTGGCCAACCTAATAATAAATGAGTAGTCGATTGTTCGATAATCGTGTATAACAAACGTAGATACAAACCATAAACGTGGAAAAGACCTACGGCTAATTATGTAATATACGTACGCCCGACCCGGATACCTTATGGCCTAGCACTGACAGTAGCCTGAAGAGCGTACATATAGTTGTGTGCAGTAACAACCAGCAGCCACCTAGCAGCTAGAACTGATTGGAGGCGTACGCAATCAGATAAAAATAACGAGGTGACAAAATTCAAGAAGTCAAACAATAATCCCGACTAAATAACACAGTGAAAATACGAAGTTGGTCTAGAATTCACTCTTTCCTTCCATCTAACGGCTGTAATGTTTAGTGTATCTTAGCATTTGTGGTCGACTAGGATCAGAAACCTTGTTTTACCTGTCAGTCAAACTCCGTTCAAGACATTTTTAACAATCGCTTCTGAGTTCATAAACAATATCGGTGATAATTTTAATGCGATTATGCAAACGAAATCGTCCCAAGGATCAAGCCTCGAGTAAATACGGTTCCGTTTTATTATGAGGCATTCATGTAGCCTCAGAAGAATTCGAATGGTGCGGTATTTGAGATGTTTTTAAGTGATGAAAGTCCGCAAGAGTCTCGAGAACACTCTGAAACAGCATCTTCGGGTGTTAACAGTTCTATAGTTTAGCCGCTGGGTGGGTGTTGATTCAATAAGAACAGCGATACACCAGCACTCGGAGTAACAGTAACTGTGCAGTCAGCACCTTCGTCACCAAACCCCGAGGGCGTTGAGTACAGGCCACTGATAGCTCGGTTCGGCTCTTTTCATTTCACTTACACCCGCACCGTTCCACCACCATATCATCGTACTTCTTGTAAACGATATTTTCATTTGAGTCCACAAAGAGAATGCTAATAGCACTGAATTTATTAGGCGAGCAACACGCTTGAGGGGCAAGAGAGGGCGCCACGGAGTTCAAAATAGTTTGTACTGTTGCGTGGTTGGTCGGTTTTAAGTGATTGTCGATAGGAAACTCGCAAAGACCCTGACAAAAGTAAGCGCTGTATCCTCTCGGCGCAATCACCCAATCAGACCAGCCAAGCTGGTTAAAGTCGACTAACAAAGGCTTTCGCCGACATGAGTCCTTTTTGCGGCGTCGTCTTGACTTTGTCCCTCGCCGGGTTTTTTTGTTGTTACCTCCGGATTTTGACCTCAAGTCTCTTCGTACACGCGTATGTTCTAACTGGCTGTCTTTTTCTTGTGGCACACCAGTGCGTTTTGCACTTGACATTGCGTTACCGGGGGCTTTGTTTTCATCTGGCGCTGGCTTCCGGATGGGCTGACCAGACTTGCCATCGGTAGTGAATACAACAAGAAGAGCATGTTTGTTGTACAGCCGTCCGGTTTTTGAAAATCCCACTAGTTCCGGTGGGACAAGCTCGCCACTCGTTAAAGATTCCACGCGTAATTCAAGAACTTGTAATTTGCTTTGAGCTTTCTGCGACTTTTCAACTGCTTTCTTGACAGTGAACACGTTCCATTGTTCATGAGACAAGTCAGAAATGTCAAACGCGAAAGAGTCGAGCAATTCGAGATTAGATCCAAACGGAACAAAGTTTGGTATATCTGTGACGTGCTTGCCATAGAGTTTTGCTCTGTAGGCTGTTCCGTGTTGTTCTGTAAAAGACTTATCTTTTATAAGAGTTGGCAGTCTTAACACTCGGAGCTGCGCGCCAAGAACCGTATGCGAAGAGTGAACGTTGCTAACGTTAAAATAAAACACTTGTTGACTTGTTGGAGTGGCTGAGTTGTCTGAGCGCTCTAAAAGAAAAGAAATCGGAAAAGGAGCTATTAACTACAACATCATTAGTTCTAAAGCGATCGATAGAGAAACAAGAAACACGACCCGAGAAAGTCAGAAATGCAAAACAAATACAGACAATGAGAAACACTTACAAAAAAAACCAAGATAACAAAACTGACCTTGATCCACTATACCGACAACTGAATTTGGTAGCATATCCGAGACCTTATTCCCTTTGTAGTTTCCGCTAGATAAGTTTCTATATATCTCTAACATAAACTTGTGAGGAATTACATGGCGCCCGGGTTTTGGAAAGTCGTCCAATCCTAAAATGTTCAATAGTCGTTTTTGGGCTATCTCCATGGCTCGCTTCCGCAGAACTGGACGGGTCCAGAGTTCCCATTTTCTCTTTAGGCCGCTAGAAGGCTGCTGGCAGCAGGATTCTACCGAAGTGAGGAGGAGAATCGGCGAGAAGAACAAGAGACCCAGAGATTTCATCTTGCTTGGTCACAGTCGAAAAATTTGACTCGATCCTTAGCCACTCGATTTGCCCACGGATCACTTGGTCCTTCTTGCTATTGTGATGATGTGTTCTCGAGTCCGTAAAACGATCGAACATTATTTATTGTGCAGCAATTAACTGTTCTCTCCAGTTACGCCCCGGGGACAAAGAACATTTCACTAGCACTAATTGGCTGAAATGTGATGGTGTTTAAAGATGCGATTTTATCAAAAAACCTTGGGTGATTATAAAGTCTCGGATTGGTTGCCCGGTAATACGATCTTTCAAAATTAAATTAGTTTTGACGAAAGCGATTGGTTGGCTAGACCAATAAACAGGGGGTTTTCTTTGGAAGGGTATTGATAGACTTGAAAGCCTCTGTTTCCTGGGCTACAGATATTTATCTTGTGCTGTACTGCACTAGAGCGTCCTTTGAATATCTGAATAGGCAACGAGATTAGCATTAGAATAAGCTAATATTTGCCCTCTCAAGGTGAGCACAACCTTAGCATACTCCATTAGCCCTTACGGCATCCGAGAGAATATTTTCAAATAAGCCAGGTGCTTAGGTGTCAAAATAATGCAGAATAGCTTACTTAATCTTGAAACGCAACTAAAAGGGAAATGTTAGGAGATTTCGTCCGGAAATAGGACGTGGACTTGCGTATAAGACTATAAATACTGGAGAAGTATTTCCTGAGAGGAAATTTTGAGTGTTCAAAACCTGCTAACTAATCTATCTTGTTGATCGCGGTGCGAACACAAAGGGAATTGCTCCAATGTGCTACTGGGATTGTTCATCTGGTTCTTGCGATTAAAAACGTCCGCACTCTTTATGTTTTGCACATGTAAAATACCTTCGCTTCTTATCAGCAAAAAATACCGTCCGTTTGAGGGGGCACACATATCAAGATAAGTTATCGCTTATAATTTCTCGGCGATTTGTGGTACAAATTCGGAACCTTCCAAGGGATTAGCGTATAAAAATCACCGCTAATTTTGTAAACAGGGCTTTAGTACACTTTACACCTTAAAAATTATGGATAAACCCACCCCGAGGGATATATTTTTGAGCTGATTCAACGTAATAACTCAAAAAGCAGCTTTTAAGCGCTGCTATGATGAGTATCTCCTTTCTTTGGGCTAATTCCTCCAGTCTGCTGAGTAATGTCAATGTAACACATACCAAAGATTCTTATACCAATGATGTGGTTTGACAAACAGCCGTAGAGTCCATCAAAATAGACAGTTATCATTTTAAACCTCTTAAACCCCTAATTTTGTGCACATTTTGGTCACATTATAAAATGCGTGAGAACTCGTCTTAAAGTGTGAAGCTCAAATTTAAACAATTACAGAATCCTTTCAACACTTATACTACTATAACTCTGACGATTACCACCCAGACAGAAGTCATTCACAGCTCATTAATCACGCGAAACGTTTCGAAACTTTTCTCGCCTCCGCGACCGGCTTCGTGCAAAGGCTTTTTGAGGTAATCGCTAATGCAACCTACGCTTCAAGTTCTCGTCCTGTCACCGTAAAACATTTCTGGTTACTTTATCCTCGAAACGTGCAAACATTCAATGTTGACACTTATTTATGGGTGTTTTCAGTAAACAGTCCCACCTTTCACTATTCACAACAGACTTAAAACAAACATGGAACCAAGAGAGTAAGAGTTCGTGTTTTCTTTTTTTTTTACCAGCCGACTAAGTGGACTTTCACAATAAAAACAAATCTCCAATGTGTTGCTTGTCTACCCACTTAAAACGTTAAAAAAAAAACGCTGATTTCAACCAAAACACATCAGAGCTTTGACAAGTGAAGACAAAGAATTCATAAGAAAAAAAGGGCTTTTTATAAGCTTAAAGCTCTTATTAAAATTTGCAGACTACGTAGCTTCTAAGGAATCGTTAAACGTCCTCGGGCGTAAAGCGAATTAAAACTGGTTCATTTGTTTCAGTTCTTTTTGCTGCGTGCTTTAGAATTTTGTTTTTGCAGCGACACTTAGTTCCTGCATTACATTAGACAGGTGATTAATAGCAGGAAATAGCAAAGGAACATATAAGAAACAAATTAACTTGGTCTCGGGTAATTAATCAAACTCTAATACAATTAGATGGCCCGAGTTCAAGACTTGCCATCAACGCGGAATAAACACTTATCGGAGGGAAAAGATGGAAATAATTTACTTTTTCTGTAAAATAACTTTGTGCATCATTGAATATGTGTTTAAATTTTTGGAGAAACATATCTCTAAGAGTTATGGGAGATTTTGAACACTGTCAAGGCAACTGTAAGGCAGTCATTATTCTCCCATGACAGAACACTCTGAAGGAAACATAATAGTCCAATAACGTCCAGTTTTACAAACGTCAAAGAAATGAAATATGAATTATTTTTCTGGAAACTGGCTGGCAACACTTTTCTCTAGAACTTTACTTTATTCAAATTGCTGTTGGTATGCGGAATAAGATGAAAATATATGAAAAAAGATCACTGTTTTTCCGCGTGCTGAGGCCAGGTCACCCCAATGTAAAAGCTTCAAATACTAGCGCTGAACGTGGGCGCAGAGGCACGAATTGAAGACAGCCGCTTAGTGACAAACTGCCCGGCTGCACTTTAAACTAAAGAAGTTGGAGTCATTTGCTTAAAGTGAGTGTAAAGGGAATGTCAGTTAAGTCAATCAGCCACGATTTCAGAACAACTTGCATTGCAACTGTCGCTAAGCCTCTTGTGACCAGTTTATCAAATTTACTGTTGGTAAACTTGTTCGGCTAATTAAAAAAATCGAACAAACAAACAAAAACAAAACTTCAAGATGGAAAAGAAAATGAGAAGCTCTTCAACATGGATTCACAATGGGCTATCGATTTGAACGAGTCAGATAATTGAGGATAAAACTAAAGATTCAAGGCCGTTTCCCAATCAAAATTGGTTTTAATCACATATTTGGTGGAAAAACTGACCACGAATAAAAAAGTTCAAATGCTCGAATATTTCGAGCGCGATTTCTGCGTCAAAGTGAATTTTCTGACAAAGAGCTTTCGCTCGAAACGTCAGTTCTTCAATCTTTTGACGTTTTTAAATTGTCTGGCAAATTCAGTTGATTAATGTTTTATATTTTAACTTAATTTTTCTTTCCCTAAAAGAAATCTGCCCCGAGACCCCGCCACCTGGTCTTAATTGTAAAGCAATTTGTCTCGACAACACATTTGTCGTAAGAGGTTATGTTCCTTCCCGCAAGAATTGAATCCTAATTGTAGTTCAATTTTGCGTGTTCCTCTTCCAGTTGCAAAGCCGCCCTTTGTCATCGAGAGAATACAAGGACTTAAAGGGAATTAACTCCATGTTATCCACCACTATCCTGGTCTATATGTAACTGCGGAAGCGTTTGACCGCTATTAACAAATTATCACAACTGAACTTAGCACATGATTCTCAGTTCCAAAACCTGAAAATGATGAATTGCTCGAGATTTTTAGTTAGTATGACAACAGATGAGATCATATTTGTTGTTTTCACCTCAGTAAAATAATTGTTAGTTTTTTTACCCCTTAACACACCGTACCAAACTATGAGCATGGGTAGCTATGACAGTTCTGACTTTTCTCGCATGTCGGTTCGTCTAGGGTGGTGGTATATCCTTTGGGTTTGCGTTTAAGGATGCTTCCTTCAAGTCAAGCGGGACAACAGTCTCTCGGGTTGTCCCAGAAAAGAAACTATTGAATTTTGCAATTCTAAGATGTGTCAACGGAGCAAAATAACTTGGGTAAGTTAATTCTGAGTGGGTGCGATAAACACCTTTGTCGTGTACGCAATATTTTCATTCTTGTGGTAAAGGCGACCACTCTACGTTGGAAACGTAAGGGAATTATTGAAGTGTGCCATTTTAATAATGATGCCCGTGTGTACTTTCTTATAAAAGCAGTTATGAACACCGATTTGCAGTGCAATTATCACTTATATTATTATTATTGTCAACTACAGGTGTTTTTGATGTTTGCTTGATGTTTCGTGCACAGATTCAACATTGCGGAACTTGAGAAAATAAATGCGGCTTTTCTTGGCAAGGGTGTCTACCTATGAGGAGGTCAGTTTAGTCTAAATAAAGGGAGATTAAGACCCTACTGTTAGCCAGGAAAGCCGAAAATAACCATTTTAGTATAAAACAACACTCGTGAAAACACGAACATACAATTTTTAAGGAAGGAAAAACAAACATCCTGCGTTGGGCAGGACAGCTACACCCCATTTTTTTACATCGGAAAAGTATGCTCCTCCTCTTGAAACATTCGCACTCCTTACGAATTCTTAGGATCTCTCGTGACCTGTAATGAGCTTTCATTTTAAAGTTTGCCAAACTTCGAGTTAATTAGTCAATGACTTATGCGTCATCAACTCTCCTACATTCTGAAGGATTTCAAACCTCCAAATCAGTACGCGACAAAACAAATATCTCTAGTAAGTTTCTTTGTCAATTCAAGTGTTTACAAGAAGGTGCTGGCAGAAAGTTTCTTTTGAAGGGGCGTGGCGCATTTTCGCGCAAAAATCTTGCCAAAACATGTTACTTTCGCCTACTCATTCTCAAACCAAAACCATTGTTACTGTCGTCAGAATTTATTCTCGATGAGGAATTCCTTTCAAAGCCGAGTCTAAGACTAAAGTGGTTCAAGAGAGATTTGTCCGACCGTCATGGTCTTCCGCGTACTAAGGTCCTGCAAAACACGAACATTACTTAGGATCCAAGTGTATACAAGCAGGTCTGCACGTCAAAGATTTGTCTTTCTTTCTACTGGTTCTTGGTAGCTCACTGAATACTTGCCCTGGTTTTTTTCTTATAGCGAAAGGACTTTGCTATTACATTATTTTCTATTCTTTCTTTCTTTCTTTCTTTTCTTTTTTTTTTTTTGAAAGGTTTATTCCCTTCCCGGGGTAAGACTTGTTTGATTTAGTCAACAGGCTTAGCGCCGTCTTCCACTAATTTATCATTCTGTTAGCACAAGCTCAGTTGTCTTGCGATCCAAACTTTTACAGTCACCGCTTTCTTAAACCAAACTCACGTAAAGCAGGGCTAGACTTGGAATCTTCGTATCGGCTCGAATGTCAAATTTGCGAGCTATCACGCATTTAACGTTTTAGCCCCTTTCTCAGCTGTTGGATCAGTTCCGATCTCTTATCTTTTCTATCAGTTAAAATAACGCTAATTTCTCGACTGACAGTAAAA